AGGAAGGAAGGAAGGAAGGAAGGAAGGAAGGAAGGAAGGAAGGAAGGAAGGAAGGAAGGAAGGAAGGAAGGAAGGAAGGAAGGAAGGAAATATAATTGCCCTCCATTGTCTGGGTTAGCCCTTGCTAGAGATACCTATGTAACAGCAGCAGACAGCCAGGGGCAATACACTTGCTGAGCAGCATAAAAACCTTAGGGCTGTTTCTTCCCTTCAGAGTGCTGTGGCTGCTTCCCCACCCGCTGGTGTCACGGGCTGCAGATACTCACTGTAGCCTGAAGCAGTTGGTCTTTTTGGTGTACTCTGTGTCTGGGGTGCAGATCGCCCCGGAGAGGTTCAGGGGAAGGGCCACCACGGAGCTCTGCAGCACAGGGAAGAGCAAAAGCAACACCGGGTTTTGCTGGCTCCCTTTTCGAGATCCAGCATGGACACAGGCAAGGGAGCCCCCGGCAGCCCCCCTGCCAGAGCTCTCCTGGCCCCAGCAGGGTCAGCTGAGCTCCCCCAAGGCAAAAGCATGCGAGAAGCAGGGAGAACTGACACAGGACCCAAGTCTGCTTGGCTCTAGCCCCAGAGGCTGCTGCCTTGCCCACCCTGCACCCACTGTGCTCCGACTGTGTTGTCCATCCCAGGGTACCTTCAGGCTGTCCCTCCGGTCCTGGTAGAAGCACAGTGTCTGCCGCATGAGCACCGCGTGGAAGAGGCTCCAGGCACGGCAGGTCGCCTGCAGGACACAGACAGAGGCTGTCAGTGAGGCAGGGTCCTGCCAGGCGAAAGGGACCTTTCTGCACCAGGAGCCCATCATGATGCAGTGGTGGGAGCTGCCTGGGGCATCTGCCCCATCCCAGCCTGAGTGGTCCCACCACCAGCCCAGCATCCTCTCCACAGGGGCAAGATGGACAGAGGAACCCAGGRGCAGCATGGCATAGCCAGGCAACCCCCATAGGATTGTCCACACATGCCAGGGCTCTCCCAGAACCCTTCTTCTAGCCACTGCCAATCCCACCTCCGCATGCTGGTTGCAAGTATTGGCCAGGGAGATTCAGCACAACTTTTTTGGGGCCATTTGAGCCAACACCTCCTTTTCACTAACTCCCTCCAGCCTCASATTTACTGCTCAAGGTTCAGGAAAACACTGGTCTGCTGCCAGTCATAACACTCCTCSAACTCCTGTAAGCTGTGAGTATTGCACATCAGTGCATAAGCACTGCACATCAGTGCTCTGCAATGTTAGTTTCAACAGCATCTCTGGTTTCAGTCCTTTCTTAAAACCTTAAAAGTCCCTGGATCCTGAGGAGAGCTGGTGAAGGTGTCGCATGCAGCCATGCCTCCCCTCCCTTGGGTGGGCAGTGATGTCCCCTGCAGCACTGCTCTGACATGGTAGTTGTGCTCGGGAGGGCTGGGCAGGAGCACCGACTAGGAGAAGCTTCCTGCTTGCATTTTGAGAGGCTTTGAGCTTTGTGCTGGGTTTAATGTCCTCTGTTGCCTTTCCTGGAAAATGCTCCTGTGTGTGGGAATGCAACAGTGGCAGCCTTACTGGTGCAACAACAAGTGACATTGGCGAGGTGTAAGCTTAGGGATGGCCGTATGAGGTCAGATGGAGTCCTTTCCAGGTGACATTTCTGCAATTCTGTGTGTGCTAGAGATAAGGTATCTCTGTTCCCATGGCCTGGTGGCAGCCAGCTCCCAGGAGCTGCTGGCTCGGCTGCATTGCGCCTTTTTGGCAGGGGGGCTGTTGTTTTACCTTTGCAGGCTGGAGTTTGGCTGGGCAGCCAAGGGGGAATGTATGTCAGACTCCTTGTTGGGCAGACAAGTGACTGGGCTATAGGCCTGGCTGCAATGGTCCGTGTGCCCAGCAGCTCCCAGGAGGGTGCCAAGGGGTGCACAGAGGAGGTTGCCCCTGGCAGCCCCTACACTCACATATCACACATGTCCCTACAGTCCAAAGGAGACATATAGCCATGCCCTTACCCTTCTACCTCCTGTCTGCAGCACATGCTTCCTCTCCAGGGTCCCCTCCATCATCTGAAACTCCATTTTATTGGGAGGAGCCTGCAAGGAGACAGAAGATGAGCAAAGCAGCCATGGGCTAACAGTAGCAGTGCAGTTCTGAGAACCATGGTCCATCTGAGCTGCTGGTAACCCCATCTCTGCCACCACCGCCCAAGGTGCCCTCGGCTGCAGAAGCAGTGTGTGTGATAGGGGGCAGCATGTGCCTCCTGGAGCCTCCTGGAGCCTCCTGGAGCCCAGGCATGGGCACACGCAGCCCTCGTGCTGCTCAGGGCAGGAGCTCAGGACTCCTTCTCGTGTGGGGCCGTCCAGCAGGCCGTGATGGAAGCACCGCTGACTGCAGTGAGGGGGGTGCTGGTGGCGCAGAGAAGGCACCGCTGGTCAGTGGTRCTACCCAAGGGCCATCCCAGCTGTTACGTGCCCCGGGCTGCTGCAGTTTAGCAGGACCTGTGATGGGCATCAGAAATGTCTCYACCTGGCCCTGCTCTTCACATGGGGTTTGAGCAGCTCTCTGACCCCCATCAGGAGTGCACCCAGCCCATGGCTCTGACCTTGCCGCCCTCTCGCTCCTCGTCCTGATGTTGATCCCGTGAGCTGGGGCTGTCTGTCCAGGCCGTGGAYACGGACTGGCCCATGCCATGGGGTGCCTCTAGGCAGGGAAGGGCTGCCCCACGTGTGCTCGGGCTGCCGCCGCCCCTCTGCCTGTCGCTGGGGCCCTTTTCTCCCACCGGGCTGTGCAGCAGCTGTGCAGCGGTGGGAAGGGTGAACTTGGCTACCAGCACGTTATTAGTTGCCGAGAGGATGAGGGGCCCGCTGTCRACATCGGGGCTCTGCAGGCTGCCTGTCCTGCTGGCAGGCAGGCGTTGGGTGCTGCTTGGTGGCATCTGCTCTTCCGCGTGCTCCCAGATGGCCTGCAGCTCCTCCTCCTCCTCCTCAAACAGCTTGTGCGCTGGGTGGCAGATCTCTGCTGCACCCAGGCTCTCGGGGCTGCGTTGCTGGCCGCCCAGCTCGCAGGCGAACACGGAGAGCTGGGGGGCAGCCCGGGAGCCCTGTGGGGCAGCAGGAGGGGAGTTCGGGCCCCCATCGGATAGTCCTGCCAGGACCTCCTTGCTGGGCTTCCTGCCGCCAGGCGGCCGCCCGAGCAGGACAAGGCCAGTGGCAGCACCTGCCCTGGCCATCGGGGCGGTGGGAGAGGGCCTGAGCTCCACGCGAGTGGCCTCCCGCAGCCTGGCCTGGCAGCTGGGTGCGCTCTCGGCCGCCGTGGTGCTGGCGCTGCCGTCGCGGCCCAGCCTGGCGGCCAGCTCGTCCCACTCCCGGCCGACCTGCTCATGCAGCACGCTGATGCGGGACAGCCGGTTCAGCCTGAAGTCCAGCAAGTCTTCGCCGGCGCTCTCAGGGCTGCTCCGTTCCTCGCTGCTGCAGCGGGCCKCCTCCAAGCCTCGTACTTTCCGCTGGCTGTAGCTAGGGTTGAAGCTCACCTCTTCGAACCACGTTCCTCGCTCGCCCTTGGGGGGCTTCCCCAGGCCTTCACCTGGCCCCTGGGCGCCAGGCCCATCTGCGTCCTCCTCCTGCCACCCGGGCTCGCTTGTCCCTGCARCCTCCCAGTGCTTCGCCCCTCTGCCCTGCCTCTTCTCCTTCCCCTCCGGCTCCTCGTGCTGCRCCGCCGCTGCAGTGCCTCGGAGGCAGCCCAGGACAGCCAAGTCCTTGGGTAACTCCACGCTGAGGATGGACCCAAGTGCCAGGTGGGGGCAGGTGCTCCTTGGCCCGTCAGCAGGCTGCACAGCACTAGGCTCCACACCATGGTGGGGGAGGCTGCCTCTGGGGACCCCAGGGGCGGCCCCACACTCTGCGTCGATGTCCCGCACCAGGGGGTTCTTCACGTAGAGCAGCAGCTCCCCGAGCTGGGCGCCGGGAGCCGCTGGCGGCGCCTTCCTGCGGCCGCACTTCAAGGGCCACGTGTTGCTGGGGCCGCGGCGCTCCTCGGGCAGCGGCTGCAGGGAGCTGGGGCCCATGATGCCCTGCAGCGTCAGCAGCCGCGCGTGCTCSGCCTTCTCCTTCTCCTTCCTCTGCAGGCTGTTGAAGATGGAGCCRGGGCCGGCCTTGGGCAGGGTGTGGGTGGTGGCAGCGCGGGGTGCTGGCGGGCGGCCGGCCACGGCAGGCGCTGGCTTTGCCACCTGCAGCGCCGTGGAGCTCTTCCCGGCCCTCTGTCCGTAGCGCTCCTCCACGCACGCAGAGGCGCTCGCCTGCGGACACAGCGGAGGGCACAGGGGTGAGCCCCTCGCCGCAGCAGCCACGGCTGTGGGCACGTGGCATGGCTCAGCCCTCGCTCACCCCACACCAAGACRGCTCTCCCCACAGGACGACTAAGGGCAGCGAGGAGTTGGGGGGCTAGGCAGCACCTGTCATGCTCCAAAACCTCTTGCCCTTCTGCTGGTGCCRTTCCCGCAGTTGGGAGCTGCACCTCCTCCTCCTCAGCACCTCAGGGTGCCTCCAACTCCGTACGTGGTGGAAAGAGACAGGAAGGGGGCACTCTACTCATGATATGGAGCCCCTCRGGTATGTCCCACTGCCCTGGCACACAGCACAGAACTCTCCTCCTCACTCTTGCCCTCTAAGGGGCTTCTCCTTGGGGTCTGCAGAGATAGTGGTCACTGTGGCATGCTGGCAGGAACGTGTATGTGCCACCAGGCAGCCGTGCTGGGTAAATGCAAAGGCAGAGCATGTTCCTTCCTGCCCTCTACACTCTCCTTTCCCATGAACAGCTTCTCCACCCTTTCCCATCGCAGTCTAAGCCTGTATTCTGGGTTTCTGYGGCTGCAAGGAAGAAAACAAAGAGACTTGGCCTGGCAGAGCTGGAACAGCATTTCCTTGTACACCCTAGACTGCATGGTACGTGTCACCCCAGGCACTACTGGTGGCTCTTCGGTCCTTCGCCCTGCTACAAGGCCCTCTGACCTCTTTGGCATCCTCCCYACTAACCCTTCTTGGCAGCCCTGGCCTTTTCCCTCCGTAATCCAGGCGGGCTGTATGCAGGGAGGGCCCAGCACTGCTGGCATTGGCAGCTCCTCACAAACAGCCCTTTGTGCAGGGTTCGGAGCAACAAGTGGATCCTACGTGGCTGCAGAGCCCCGGCAACGTGCCAGGCTCCCAGTGCCAGAGCTGCGAGCCTCACACATGCACCCAGAGCAAGCTCCCCTCCCAACACACGCACACACAAACRGCCCACCCACCCTTGTCCCCTTCACTCAGCTGCACAAGGGACTGCTCCTGCCTTCCCACAGCTGCTGCACCTCCCACAGCCACCACTTACCCCAAGGGCTGAATTGCAGCCAGCCCTCCTCCATCTGGGACCTCTCTTTGCATGCCCAAGCTCCCATACTCTGGAGCCAGAGCACCAGAGGTAYTTTTCTCTAGGATAAGGTAGCCCATTGCTATGTCTGAACCCGCTAGCCCTGCTGGGGGGAAAGCTGCCCCCAGCCAGCCTGGCAGGGCAGCGAGTAGCACTGTGGAGAGGACATGGCAGGATGGCCAGGCAGGTTAGTAACAGGCAGGTTCATGCCATGCAGCCACTTTGCCCCACATGCAGCCTCCCTGGAACGTTACCTCTTCCATGGACTGGTGTGATGACTTTCTCTTTCGCTTTAAACTACCCCAAGTGTTTCCTAAAAGCCCCTGGCAACGCTTCCAAAAGGTTTTACAGCTTGAGGGTTTAGTGGCAGGGAGCTGAGCATGGGGAGAGAGAGACACAAAGAGAGGTGAGGGAAGAGCAAGAGTGGCCAGCTACAGGGAGCAGAGAGCAGGCAAAGATGTGCTACAAGCTGCTGCTTAGTCCCCAGGAATCACCTGACATCCATCAGAGCCAAAATCCCTCTTGTCTTTCTGATATGGCCTGGACAGTTTGCTTGGAAATGGCCTAAGCGGATCCCTCCTCTGGGAGCAATCTGGGAGCCTTCGTGTGCTAAGCATCTGCACCCACCCCCTGGGCCCACCACATGAGGAGGTCTGCAGTGAAACACAGCTCCCCATGGCAACTCCAGACAGCCACAGCAGTGGCCAGGCCCAGGTGGGCACGGGGAGTTCCTGCATGTTTCTGTTAATGCCACAGCCCTCATGCAGCTTCACATACCGTTTGTGGAGCTTCCTCCCCAGGCCGTTCTCCACCCAATGCCAGCTGTGGCAGCTTCTTCTCTCCCTTCTTGCCAATGCTCAGGATCAAGTTGACAGTCCCCCCTAGGCTGCCAGYCCCTCGTGGTGGCAACAACACAGTGGAGGTCTCAGAAGGATCCCAGAGGAGACCGTCCTCCTCAGGGGGAGGACTGTGGGGCACCATGCTCCTGGGCTCTGGTCCCAAGAGGGCATCTGAGATGGGTGACAGTGGAGGGGAAATGGCCGTTTCCTCCACCACCTGTGACTGCAGCTTTAATCTTTGCATAGATTCAGATGGGGAGCAGGGTGCAAATCCTGTTAGGCCAAGGATGCTGTCTGCACACGGCTGAGCACGTGGGACTTGCTGCTCCTGGGAAGCAAGACAAGAGAAGGAACATGGAGGGCTGCTCCAGCATGCCCAAGCACTCTCCAAGGCTTGTAGCCCCCCTGCTCAGGCTCCCAGACAGGAAAACAGTGGCACAGAGATTGCCCAAGCTCCTCCTTGGATGCAGGGTGACCATGACTGTAAACTCAGGTGCTTTATCTGACCAGTCATCCCTGCCTGTCCTGTCTGAACCTGAGAGTGTTGGGGGTGTCACCCCCAAGGTGTGACACATCCCTCCCCTAATTTCATGTCACCTGCTCCATTTAGTGACTTTGCTACCGTCAACCTTGGCCCCTTGAGGCAGATTTTCCCCCCTCTCTGATGGTCACCATGCCGCCAGATACTCACCTGGCCAGTTGGGGGCACACCTGAGGGACTTTCAGGGTCCTTTCTGTCCTCCTGCTTGTTCCCAGGGTCCCGCTGGTGTTTCTGTGCTCGCCAGCGTACCAGCACCCAGCCCAGCATGCTCTGCAGCTCCTCCATGCGCTCCTTTATCTAAAGGGAGCAGAGATGCCAGGCAGTTCACAGGGACACCCTGCTCAGATCCTCAGCCTAGGCTTAGGGACACAGTCCTGACTAGGACACTTTCTACCAGGAACAGTTAAGGGGGAGTTCGGAACCAGAACTCCAGGCAGTTGCATCCAGCACTGTTTGAAATGCTTTCCCGACGTTCTCCCAGCCACAGAGACCCTGCCACCCAAGACATTCTGATGAGGGTCTCAGAGCCTTCAGCAGCTACGGGGAAAGTGCAACTGGCTCTGACCAATTTGTTGGGGCTTTATGTCCACCGCTTTATCTAACCTCCAGGGACTAGCCCCAGCAGGGTTCAGTGAGGTGCTGAGAAATGGATCCCCATCCTTGCAAGAGGCCAAGGCTCCCTGCTACTTACTGTCTCACTCAGATAGTGCTCCTCAGTCACCAGTGCCTGTCCCACTGCTGCCAGTTCCTCAAACTCCTTGAACTTGCCTTCAATCTTTCTCTCCAGTTCCTCACACTGAATATCCAAAAGGCTATTGCTGCCCGGGCTTTCCGAGAAGATCTGAGCCCGTGTGTCCTCCGTCCAGGAGCTGAGGGCACAGGAAGGTCAGGAGTAAGAATAACTCAGCTCATTCTCAACCCGACAGTATTCCAGATAAGCAATTCCCAACCAGCCTCAGGCTGAGCCCTCAACTTCCAGAAGGACATGGCTCTCCACTAGCACCAAGCACCCTTAAAGATGCCCTTCAGCCATGGCAGCTGTGCAGGATCCCAGGCTCTCTCTGCCATACCCACATATAGCTGAGCTGGGAACAGAGCTGCAAGCACACAAGGGGTGATGTGTTACCTCTATGGACAACATGCTCTACTTTTAATAGARACTTGGCTTTTAGTAGAAGCGACCTCTGCCTTCCAAGCTGAGGTTGCAGAGTGCTCTTGGTAAAGAAGGCTGCTTTTTGCCAGAGTCTTGTGCAAAGCAAGCAGGCAGTCACCATCTCTCATTTGTCAACACTGACCACTGAGCTTTCCAGTTTGAAAACCGGAACGGGGAGTAGGGCAGACAAAGTGGATGTGAAGGGTAAAAGCCTAACAAGAATGAAATACAGGAGGAGGGGGCAGGTCAACGCAAGGAAAAGAGAGCAAAGGGAAAAGTGAATGCAGCTAGATGGAGACACTGCAAAGCTGTCAGGACAAAGGCTCGGCTGGGAGCACAGTCCCCATGGGGACATCCCATGGAGGCTCAGGAGTACAGGGATTGTGTGTGTGTAGGAGGGCTGTTGAAGCACTGATTCTCTTTTGGCACAGCAGCAGGAAATCATCAAAAAGTGTGTGAAAACTGTGCTGCAACTACCACTTATCTTCAGCCTGCTATCACAATCTTTAAGTCAGTGTGGTGATGTGGTGGCCCATGCTAGATCAGGGCCCCGCAGCAGGCTGCTCTCTCCGTGCAGTTCCAACACACCCTACACTTCAGGTTACAAACAGTCCCAGTCTGCTTTCTGCGCCACCATCTGCTCACGGACTTGGGAACAGCTGCACCTCTGGGAATGCCGCAGTCTCACCAGCTCCCCCCTCAGAGTAGCATTGCAAAAGCAACTCTGATCGCTCATCACCACTTACATCATGGCTAAATAATCCTTGAAGAACTGCCGCAGCCGTGCAGCCTGTTGCACGTGGGCCTTGTTCTCCCTTAGCAGCTTCTGCAGCCCTTCCCAGGCTTGCAGGGCTCCCTGCACCTTTGGGCCGATGGCACACATCTGAGTTGGGCAGAGCTTTTCCAAGCRGGCAGCAGCCTTCTCCAGCTCCTCCAGCTGCCCCTGCAGGGTCTCACACACAGCAGACTAGGATCACAAGGAAAAAAAAAAAAAAAAAAGTTAGGATACTTAGAGCGGTGTGGCAATGGAGCAATGGATGCCTGACTTCTTTTCCTATCCTGCCCAAGGACACTCTTTACCTGCTGATTGAGACACATCCAACCCATTCCATTCGTTTCTCCACGATAAGGTCAGAGAAAGCACCAGTCCTTCAAGGCAGGACTTCTCTGTGCCCCAGGATGCATGGGATGAAAGGAACATGCTAGAGGGGAGCTTAAGGCTATTGTGGGGCACTGAAGGTCGAGGCTGTGGGCAGCAGGAAAAGCCATGCTYCATAGGGATGATGGGCAACACAAAGGGCTGCAGGAGTGCAAAGGAATGTGGTTTCTCCACACCAGCCTGCTCTGCCCGCATGAGTCACCTCCCTGCCGACGGAAAGATGAGCGAGGTGCTGGCAGCCTGGAGCTGGCACACGGAGCTGACGCAATCTCTCTCCCCTTCCTTGGCCCAGGCCAGCCAAGGGGAGCGGGGCCAGGCTCGGCTTGCCTGGAAAATTCCAGCCCAGCCCTCGGCAGTGGGCCAAAGCTTACGACACCTGGGCCCCTAGGGGCCAGCACCTCCCCAGGACAGCCTGGTCCAGCTGGGACACTTCCACACCACGTCTCATCTCCTGCCACGCGCCGATGGGCAGGGTGCCTCGCAGCTGCCTCTCACCTCCATGTCCCGCTGCCTGCTCAGCAAGCCCTGCAGTCCCTGGAGGTCCTTCTCGCTCTTCACGAGGGTGAAACCGCTTTCCACTTGGGCTGTGTCTCGAGCCAGGGCTTCGGCTCTGCATTGGGTGGCCTCCAGGCGCGGGCACACCTCTGCCAGCTGAATGCCGAGGAGGAGAAAGGTGAGCCCCGAGGTAAGAGTCCAGGTGCCACCGCTTCTCAGCGTCGTGGTGCAGCCACAAGGCGCTCTGCTGCAGGGCAAGGAGCCCCTGCACAGCAAGGAGGATATCCTCCTTGCACAGCCCACAGCTGTCCCGGCTCACTTGTACAGGCCCACTGTGCTGGGACAGGCCTACTTGTGCTCCCCCTTCCAAGGTGGCATGGCTGGCCCTAGACAAGCCATCCCAATCACACGCGTGGGTGCCACCCGTACCAGGTGCTCCAGGCTCTCCCTCGCTGCCGCTGCCTCAATGACCCGCTCCCGCTCCTTCACTGCGTCGTTCAGCATCTCCACCGCCTCCTGCAGCTGTCCCAAGGGGCTGCTCATGTCCTCGCTGCTCGGTGGCTGCCTCGCTGGGGCTGAGAGCAGAGGCAAAGCCCCCTGCGAGCCATGCTGCCCGCTCCCTGGCTGAAGCCAACAGAGATACCAAGTGTGAGAGAGAGGGGAAGCAACCTTCTAAAAAAGCTGGCCTGTGAGGGGGACCCATGGGGCCATAAAYTGACCCCTGGGTTGGTCCTGACTGCTTTGAGCTGACAGCAGCAGCACCAGGCCCAAGTGCCAGCTGCAATAATGTGAGGGGAGCCCCAAGGGGCGAACGGGCAGTGCCCGGCAGTGCCGAGGGGTGCGGGGCCCAGCTCACCGGAAGGGATCGGTGCCGGCTCCGCGCCTGCTCCTCCTCTTGGACGTTCTGCAGGAACTCGGCGAGCACCAGGGAGTCGCGCAGGTCCGCGGCCCGGCGCCGCAGGGCYGTCTGCACGCGCGCCAGCCTGCCGGGGCACAGGCATCACCCACAGCTCGCCCGGGTGCTGGGACCGCGCGGCCACCYCTCGCAAGGAGCAGCCTCTTCCTCCCTGCCCTCCCTGAGGCCCAAGGGAGAGGAGAGAGGAGGGAGCCTCCCCAGCACTCACTTTTCCTCCACCATCTCCACCTTCCTCCGCATCTTTCTTGCCGCCTCGTGCTCTGTGGAAGGCTTATCTGCCACCTCCTCCCGCAGGGCCTGGAGTCTGTGGCCGCAGACCAGGAGCTGCCTCTCCAGCTGCCCCGTCTCTTCCAGGTCCCTGCGCAGCTCCGCGGGGCTTCTCATGGTGGCCGGCTCCGAGAGTGACTTGGCCACGGCTTGCAGCCACCGCTCAGCCTGGTCCAGCTCCCCCACCAGCCTCAGGGCCTGCAGGGACAGCGCAGAGGTGGCACCGGCCCCGTGAGCCTGGCTCAGAGCCCAGGACATGGCCCCAAGGCGGGGTGCCCAGGGCACAGGCAGCTCCCACTCTGCCATTCGGAGCAACATGTGGGCAAGAGGGATAATGCCAGGACAGGCCTATATTGCTGATGATACCACAGATCCTGGCCCCATAATCACCAGCCCTGYTTGCTGAGCCAAGGGAAGGTCAGGCCAGGTCTACATGCCCTTGGGCTAGGAGGATCAAAAGTTGYGGGCAGGCAAAGCCATTCCCAGTAACCTGGTGTGAGGTTTTTCCACACTCATGCCCAAGCCTCACTGCGGTGCTGCCTCCACGTACCTTATCAATTTCCTTCAGCACCGCTCCATTCTCCTGGTGTTTCCTCTGCAAGTCCTCCCAGAGCTCGCCCAGCTCCCGCAGCATGGCCTCCACCTGCGGGCTCCCCYGGGCCCCTGTGCCCAGCAGCTTCTGCCCTTCCTAGAAGGAAGGGATGAGTGTTACAGGCAGTCCTGCTGGATATCCCTCTTCCTGGCCTGCACTGGAGGGGGCTCACCAGGAGCACAGCCTCGATGCTGGAGCTGTTGTCCAGGATCTCTCGCTGCAGAGCAGCCCGCTGGGTCTGTGCTGCCTCCAGGCTCTCAGCATCCCCCACTGGACTCAGGTGGACACTGGGCCCCACGTTCTCCTTGAGCCGGGACACGGCCTGTTGAGGAGCACAGGGAACACAGTGCCTTAGTGCCCGGATCAGGGATGGGTGCGCATGTTTACATGCATGTATGCACATGAGCAGAGGGAGGGTTGGGAAGAGGGATCCCCCGACACTGGGTCTCCTGAAGAGGCTGGGAGCAGACATGAGGGGGCAGGGGACGCGCCTTGACTCTTGGGGAGACGTTACCACGTTCGCAGCCTGGCAGAAGTCCTGCACGTGCGCCTCCGGCTCCTGCGCGCCCCGCTGAGCCTCCAGGCACCCCGGCACCCTCCTCCTCCTGCGGGAAGGAGGAAGRTCAGGCTTTCCTTTTGCACAGGGACCCCTCTTTCCTCAGGATTTTCCAGAGAGGAGAGGGGCTTGGACCTGCTACAGAGGTCCCACCATTCAGATCCCCTTTCTGTCCTCACATCTAGCCCCATCCCAGCCTTAGGGGCCATGCAGCAGGCATGAGCATAGATCTTTTTAACTAAGGAACAASTTGGGTCCCAGCAAGTGTCCTCTGCTCCTGCCAGCCTTTCCCAAACTCACAGCTCTCCCTTCTGTCCCCGTGCCTGGGAGCAGCCACCAGGAACCAGTACCTCTTGCTGTCGCCTCCAGGAAGGGGTTGCCCAGCTGTTCCATAGCTGGGGCCACTCTCTTCACCTCTCACGTACTCTGCCACGTTCCTTCCAACGTCCTTCTGCACCTATGGCACAAAGGCCCCAAATCCTCCTTTGCCCAGTCCAGAACATGCTTCTCTTTGATCCATGCTTGGCACTTGTTGCCTCCCATGAGCAATGGGGGGAGATCATGGGACTGATTACTTTGGGCTCAGTGCAGAGACTATGATGGGTCACTGAGCCACGGTGGAGTGCATGCAGTAGGCTTTTGCCAGTGACCAAATACTTTCCCCTCACAAGTTTCCTCGTTTTGCTAAGCAGAGGCCAAGCTGTTGTACTCACTGTGCTCCCAGGACCTCTTTTCTGCTTGTCTCCTACTTCCTTGCCCGCTGCCCCATGGCTGCTCCCTTCTCCTTTGGACTCATGGCTCTGAGCTGCAGCTTCACCCCCTGAGAAAGGGCTTGCTAGAGCCAGCGCTGGAGGCTTCTCATTCCTGGGAAAGGGGCAGAGAGGGCATGTGAAGGATGCCTGGGGGAGCAGCGGATAAAGAAAAGAAACCTAAGCTGAGCTAGTCCCCCAGAGACAGCCTGCCAAAGCCCAAATGCTAACCCAAGCCTCTCCCCAAGCCTCTGACTCCAGTATGGGGATTTCTAGCACRCTCGGTGGCAGACATGTGGGACCAACTTTTCCAGTGGGACAGTTTTCCTGATGGTCTGGCCAATTTGCAGCTGCATGAATGGGAGACCAGAAAAGCTGGCGTTTGCTCCCTGTGATAACTCAGCAGGCAGACACCACTGTGGGGTGTCTTGGCCCTTCCACCTGCTTTCTCCAACCAGCCACTCCTGTTTTTCATGCATGCAGCCCCTCCTGTACCAGAGGGAGACAGACCATCCCTTTCAGTGCATTTATGAGAAAACCGAGGCCAACAACAAGGTGGGGAGGTGCTCTCTAAGGTCAGGGAACTGGCAATGTGACTAAGTACAGACTCCTGAACTATATTTAAACATAAACTCTTAGCCTCACTGGGAGCCAGAAGCGGCTGCTCGCTTCAGCTCTGAACTTTGGAGGAGYAGGGTTTGAACCCGCAGGTTCCTGCCAGGCTGTGTCCTACCTCAGCACTTGCTGGAGCTGGGCCCAGCTCTCCTTGACCTCTCGGTGCTTGTGGGTGACTCGCACTGCCAGGCTGGGCTGAAGGCTGAGGAGCTGGGACACAGTCACATCCAGCATCTGGTGGGGAGACAGCAGGCTCGTGTGACACAACTGGTGACGGACGAGCCGCGTGTGGCAGYGGTGACAGCAAAGCACTTGCAGCTGTCTAGGAGCAGCAGAAGCAGCAGGAGCAGGGRTTGCCTCCCCAAGTCTCTGGCACACCCGGCACTCACCATCACCTGGCTGGCCATGTCCCGGACGTCCCGATCGCGAACGGCCTCGGCCTCCCCTTGCTTCCCCACGCCACACACACTCCTCCACTGCAAGAAGAAACTGTGGTGAGTGAAGAAAAGAGACCAGCACCAATATTTTCATATCACTTCAGGAGAAGCACATCCCAGAGCCACTCTTGCTCCTCTGTTTTGCCAACCCACTCCAAGCTCCAGCCCCCAGCTCTCTCCCTGACCTTGGTCCACAGCATCCTGCATTCCAGGGATGACAGCTGCATTCTCTTCACCTGGCTCTCACTCCAGACATGCAGCAATTCAGTATGAGGGTATGAAATTTGGGCTGACCCTGGCCTGGGTGTTCAGTACCTTGGCATGCATGGCCCCAAGAAGGGTATCTGCTTGCTGGAGGAAGGCAGCTACTTCCAAGGCCAGCTGTAGAGCTTCATGATGCTCCTTCAGGGTCCCTTGGATGCGCAGCCACCTGCATAGATAAACGGGAAGAGGTCAARGGCAGTCTGTGCCATGGCATTGACCATTTCTACAGGAGGCTGTTCAGAGGTGAGAAGAAGCAGGACAAGAGGCAGGAGATTCATGATGTCCTTCAGCGACCTGTGCCTGGCCCTCCCACAGCTCAKCCTGTAGACCCTGCACTTACATCTTGTTGAGGTGCTTGCGCCGGGCAGAGATGCTCCTGCTCTCACTTTTGCCTTGTTTTTCCAACTTCTGTGCTAGGCTGTTCAGCTCCTCATGCAGACTCTGGAACTGCTGTTCCTCCTGGTCCAAACAGAGAGGCAGAAAACACCATTCCTCATCAAGGTCAGTCTTCCATCTGTCACTCCTGCCACTCTCTCAGGTACCTCACATTTGGGCCATGCTCCATCATTGGGTTCCCAGAGCTAGCGGGTTTCAATTTTCTTGGCCTTACAGACCTAAACCTACTTTGGGTAGATTTTGAAGAGCATGTTGATGGTTTTGGTGACCCAGTTCATCACAGTGGATGGACAGGACTGGGTACTACTGGGCCACCCATTGCTCATGTACTGTAAGATCTCATTTCTGGGCAAGGGTGGGGAGATGGAGTGGAACCTGGGCAGGAAGTCCAAGCTCTTTGCCCAGGAGCTGCCCCCTCCAGAAGCACTCCAAGAGACTCTTACCTGTTTCAAGTCAAGGATGCGACGGGTGAGCTGGATCTTGTCAAGGCTTTCTTGTAGCAGGGCTGCTAGGGAGGGCTTCTCCTCCTGGAGCAAGGACAGGGTGTGAAGAGATGGCGAGAGCACAGGACAGACATGCTGTCTCCCTCTCCAGCCTAAGCCAAGCAGGGTGACCAGAGCAATTATGGAGAGTAATTAAAACCCTCTCATGTCCCATTTCTGACTGACAGAACGGTCATGAGTGCCTCATGTCCCTTCCTATGCCTCTGTGTCTCATACCCCAGAGATAATAAACTGAGCAGTGTCACCACCTGCAAGASAGCAGGGATCTGGATCTCATAGAGGATCAGATTTGCACCACACGTACAAGCAGGACCATGAAGCTACAAGGTTTAGTCACATGACTAGGACAGCTCTCCTATGGCCATTCCCAAGGGACGCACCCCTGTTTCTGGCCCATGAAGCACGGGGCCTCAGGCACACTGTGGGTGTCCAGCTTGCTTACAGCCCTCACAGGGAGCAGCAGAAGGCCCCGTCCATCCCGAGCGAGCTCCCGACACACTGTACCTTCTGCCTGATCCACGCTTCCAGCCGCTCAGCCTTCCTGGCGAAGTCCTGCAGGCTCCGCAGCCCGCCCAGGGCTTTGCTCTGGCTGGCCGCTGTCTGCCGCAGGAGCTGCCACTGCTCCCGCAGCGCCAGCAGCTGCCGACGCACCGTCTCGGCGCTGCCGCTCGGCCGCCCCATCAGCTGCTCGCCCATCTGAGGGGACAAGGCGCCTGCTCGAGGGCAGCCCCWGCTCGCCGGGGCGCTACAGCAAGAGCTCGGAGGTGCTGGCACTGCCCGAGTGCGGCAGAGGAGGTGTCCCCATGGTGAGGGTGTCTGCACCACAGCCCGGCCTCACCTGGTTGAGCTTTATCAGAGTGTTCTCAAAGTCTTTCATGTCCCTCTGCAGGGTCTGAGCCACGTGCTCCCAGTCGTGCATGTCGCAGCTGTCTTTCAGGTCCCGCAGCTTGCCTCGCACCCAGCCCTCCGCCTGCCATGCAGGAGACAGCCATGAGCTGGGCGGTCTCTAGCTCTCTGAGAGCCCCAAGAACATGCGTGGGGAGGCTCTTTTCTTTGACAGGAGAAGCCACATCGGGTCAAGCGGAGWGGCTCTGTGCAAGCATCCCAGTGCAACACATCTGCTCTCCTCGCTGGTGCAAACACGTGCACGCACGTCCGCCCCGGCGCACGGATGCAGCCCCTCTTCGCGATCCCTATTCCCATGCTGCTGGCGAGGGAAAGGGATGTGGAGGAGGAGGAAGAGGAGGGGAATGGGGGCGGGGGGGGG